GTAACGCATTTTTAGCCTAATCAGAACAGACTTAATTTATTGAAACGAGCAACAATACAAAAGAAAAAGTGCTATCTACTTACAGAGAAACAATACTATTTATTATAAACATTAATTGTTATGTTTTTACATTTCGAAACACTTATTCCAGATGAGTAAACATGTTGTTGAAACTGACAATTCAAAATTGTCAACAATCATTTCAAAATATTTTTATAAATGTCAAATAGACTTTTTTAAAGAAATTGATTTTTTAGTATTTTTTAGCAGTTATAGATAAAATGCTGTATATCACACGTTGGCTAGAGCATAATTACAGTACTCGTGTGATTACACGACTCGGTCTACGACCTCGTCGTGCAATTCTTCACACTCCTACAGTAGTTATGTTTCTAGCCCACTTATAATATGTATAAATAACTATTTCATCATTATATGATAAAGGAGTTATTGGTCCTGCAATATCTGTATGTACTAGTGATGTAAAGTTTAGTTACTTTATAGTATTAGTAACTATCCGTTACTTTCAGAAAAAGTATTCGTTACTTTGTACTCGTTACAAGTAATCGTTTGCATTTGCGTTCGAGTACTCGTTTGCGCTTGAGGTTTGAGTACTCGTTTGCGCTCGAGGTTCGATTACTCGTTTGCGATAGAGTACTCGTTTTAGTTGGACTACATACTTATATGAATTTATTTTATTTACACTTATTTTTGAAAACAAATACTGTACGTATATTATATTGTGTTTGTTGCGCTACTATGCACTGTGCAGTGCACAGTGTGCACTAATATCAAAAAATAGAGTATAGGTTATGGGATTTACTTTTTCACTGAATATTATAACGAAGATTTTTTCTTAATTATTATTATTTAATTATTAATAACTTACGTTCAAACAAAACTTCTTCTATAATACAAGCAATAATAAAATAAAATAAAAATATTAAAATAACAATAAAAGATGTTACAGCTTATTATTGCAATGTAAAAATAAAATTTTTTGCACATTTCGACTTTTAAGTCGATTTCGCCTATCCGACAATACTTGGCCAGCTTTGGAAAAAAACCTTTCAGATGGTACAGATGTTGCCATGGCACTCAGGTATTTTTTAGCAAGTTTACTTAATCTAGGATAAAGTATTTCTCTATCTTTTCACCATTGTAACGGATTTTGTTTCCTGTCCAGATATGCTTCTTCCAAATAACTTTTAAGCTCGATGCTAGCCATGCTGATTGGATTCATCGGTGCAGCGCTTTCACACTGTTCATCAAAATCTTGCCATATTAGGTCATTATTAGAAGCAGCACATGTTTCACCTCTTTCAGGGGAAACAACGACATGTCCTTGCTGATCTAAGTTAATTAAATCTATTATCTCCTCCTGAATAAAATCATATATTTTTAAGAAAGTCTCTTGTCTTCTAATAGCCTTTTGCTTAAATCGAGGATCCAAAAGTGCCGATTTCAGAAGGGCTTCATTCTCTTCAATATCTTCAAATCTGGTACTGATTTCATTTATGAGGGTGCTAATTAATGTTTTTGCTGTCTTTGATGTTGTTAAGGTTAAAATTTTGTTAAGAGATGACATTAATCCTCTAATCACTAAAAGTACTTTTGATATGGTGATTGTTTTCTCAGAGCTCATTTCTGTTGTTATTTGCTCAAACGGTTGTAGAATCTTGCAGATTTGTGACAGAGTATCACACTCATTTTCTGACAGGCTTTCCACAGGATTATTAAGCAAACCTATGGCCACTGCCAACGGTTGATGCATTTTAACTAAACGATCAAACATATAATATGTCGAATTCCATCTTGTAGGGACATCATTTTTCAGTGTTACTTGACAATTTGGCTGCATTTGTTTTTGTGTTGACATTAACTTATTGTGTGCTCGTGTACTTTTAT